TATTTTCCCTTCCTCCATTTTCCTACACCACTTTCAGCCAGAGTGATCTTAAGGATGGCACAATTCTAATTGTGCAATTTTTAAATGTCATTCTCCTACTTAAAACAGTTCAAAAGCTTCACAGCAACTTTCAAAATCCTACCAACGTAACATATGGCCTTTAAGATCTGGCCCTAGCTTGCTCTCCAGACTTGTCACTTACACAATAGGCATCATTCAAACCCCTTTTCCATTGGACTGAAACTCGCCTTCATTCTTCCTGCCCCTTTCCCTTTTTTGCCTGGCATATTCTTAACTCATCCTGAGGTCTCAGTTTAGACGTCACTTCCTCAAGGAAGTCTCTCCAATCTTCTCAAATCCAGATTACGTTCCCTGGCATAATGCATCTCTATGACAGCATTTAGGACCTGTATCCTTGTCTGTGACATACTCTCAGGGGAGAAGTAGTTTCCCCACCACCTACCAAAGGGCCAGGAACATAAGAGATGCTCCAAAGTATTTGTTAAAGAATAAAAAAGGCAGAAGGCAGGAAAAACATAGGAATCTATAGCAGTCAGAAAGTCATAAAGTAGGAAGATTTGGCCATTAAATTCAGGGGTAGGCACATGGCAATGAAAAAGAAAGAATGAATGGAGCACAATAAAAAGAAAGCTAAGTGGATGGTTCACAAGTGTGAATTCTGAGTTGACGCAATTTGGTATATATAATTAGGAGATTCATCTAGCTCAGTGGTTTCCTAATCCTGGCTGACCATCAGAATCATCCAAAAATCAAGAATAATTTTTGTTTTTGATATGCTTTAATTCCCCCTGGTCACTGTCATAACCACTAACTGATGTTTAGGTATTATTTACCTGGATGTCCTGTAAGGCCACATTAACGCTCTAATTTAACCAAGATAACCACAAACAACTGATAGGACTTGATAAGTAGCTGAATGTAAGAAAAAGGATGCATCACACTCAATTTTTAGGTTAATTGACCTAGTCACAATTTATATATAAAAAGGCAGTAAATAAAATACTTGCTTATTAAATGAAATAGGGAAGCAGGAAGAGGGAGCACATTTTATGAGAAACGGTAGATTTGATGTTGGCCCTGAGTTTCTCAACTGACATTCTACCAATTATTTGTCCTTCAGGGCTGTATCAACAGACCACTCTTCTTTCTTGCCTTAAGCATATATTTGTCCTTGGCGTTGCTGTTTTGATTATTTTAAACATTATCTCTTCTTTGGGTTACAGCACCCAATTTCTCTTTAAAAAATTCCCCTTCCCCATGTTGTATACTCCTACATGGACTATAAATCAGGTCTTGCCCTCTCTTAGCTAAGACTCAATGAGACTCCTAGACCTTGAAAACTTGAGCATCCTAAGTGCAGAAAAATCAGTTGGTGCTCATCATTCTTTCAGTGGCACTAAATTCCTGCTTCCTAGATCCCTGGACCACCTTGGTTTCTGTCTCTTTAACGAGGCCTTGCTCTCAGGCCTTTTCATTCCTTCTAAGAACTACCCAGTATCCTTCTAATAAATCCCCATTTTATCTAATAAGCTATTATCAATGCCTGGTACTTGCCAACAACAAAATAACAGAAGCTAACACAGAAAGGAAAGAAGGGAGGGAGAGAGGGAGTGTGGGTAAGGCAAGCCATATAAGTCATTTTAAATTTTCTAGCAGCCATTTTAAAAAAGAGACTGTTGACATTACTTTTAATGATAGGTTTTATTTAAACCACTATGTCCAAACTATTACAATATGTAATCAATATGAAAAAATATTAAGATGTTTTACTTTTTTCTCTCCAAGTCTTTGAAATGTGGTATTTTACACTTACAGCCCATCTCAATTCAAATGCTAAACTTTCATAGGTTAAAGTAAAATGCAGGACTTCTAAAACAATAAAAGATGTATAACAGGAAAATATTTTATACTGCTAGTTTTTAAATTTAACTAAAATATTCAGTTCCTCAGTCACATTAACCACACTTTAAGTGTTTGGTAGCTACTTATGACTACGCCTACTGTACTGGGCTGAATAGCTTTACATATAATTGGCTACAAGAGTGAAGAGGCTCAGAACCTTTCCTAGATGGATGTAGTAGTCAGAAGGAATTGGAGATTTGTCACACTTCCCACAAATTTCATTACAAAAGGATTCAGAATTGTGAGAAGACGTATAGAAATCTCTCTTCCCCAAAATGATGTTTCCTTGGCTGTGTAACTATTGTAACACAGGTTAACACATTATTGTGAGACCCAGCCTCTATTCTACAATTTACAATACTAGCATAGAGAGATCAGTTATTTTCCCTATCAGGGAGTTTAATTCAAAAAGTTAAAATTACATTATCACATACTCTGAAATCACTTCTCCTTCGTTACATTTTGATGGGTGCGAAGAGATTTTGAAGATTAGTTTTTAAGTATTTTCACTGCCAAATAAAAATGCAGAAATTTGAATAGCAGGTTGGAGAACTTGAACTTTATCTCTCAGATAATGACAGTTATTGTATATATTGGAGTAGGAGAGTCACATAATGAAGTCAGTGTTTCAGGAAAACAAATCAAAATCCAGTGTGCAAGTAGACGGGTAACAACAGAGGTCCATAGGGAAGGCATGGAGCTTCTAGCATCCTTAGCTGGTGTACCTATACTCTTCTGTCAGAAATTATTTTCCTTTTACACTGAGAAGACATGTGCTCATCCTTCAAGATCTAGTTCAAAGTCATGTTTCCTGGATGCAGATGGCAGTCGCTTCTTCACCTCTGATCCCACAGAACTTCTCTCAAAATCCTGAATAAGGCAAATTCAGAGCAAGAAAGTGGAATAGTGGCTGCCGGGGGAAGGGGGAATGGAAGTTATTGTTTAATGGGTACAGAGGTTCCATTTTACAGGATGATAAGTGTTCTGTGGATGAATGGGAGTGATGGTAGCACCAAACTGAATGATCAGAAGGCCTTTCCCCAGACTAACTCCTTCCCTTTCAGCTCTCAGCTTCAATGTCACAGCTTTAAGAGTCCTTCCCCTTTCCAAGCCAGAATGGTTTGCGTGCCTTTGCTATACTATATCCTCTTATGAACCCTGCACTTTTTTATAGGGCTCTTATTACAATTGTAATCTATAGCTAATTACGTGGTATAATTAGTTTGCTAGGGCTTCCGTAACAAAATAGTGCAGACTGGGTGGCTTAAACAACAAAACTTGACTTTCTCACAGTTCTGGAAGCTAGAAGTTCAAGGTAAAGGTGTAGGCAGGTTTGGTTTCTCCTGAGGCCTCTCTTCCTCAGCTTTCAGATGAGCATCTTCTCGCTGTGTCCTCACATGGCCTTTCTTCTGTGCATGTGCATTCTTGGTGTCTTCCTGCATGTCCAAATTTTCTCTTCTTATAAGGATTGGGTTAGGACCTATCCTAAAGGCCTCCTTTTAACTTATCACCTCTTTAAAGGCCCTATTTCCAAATACTGTATAGTCACATTCTCAGACAAAATCCTGATGAATTTTGGAGGGACACAATTCAACCCGTGACATGTGATGACCTCTATTGTTCCCACTTGGTAAACTCTATGACAACTCTTGTTTTGTTCTCATTTAAGGACCTTCGCAGTTGCTAGTCCCTCTTTTCAGAACACTCTACTGCCAATTCTTCATAGAACAGGTTTTTCTCAACTTTCAAGCCTTAGCACGATCGTCTGGTAAGAACCATCCCAGACGATCTTATCTGAAGTAATCCCAAAAGTCACTGTCAGCTCATCATTTTCTTTCTTCCCCATGACACTCACCGGGCTGTCAGCTCCAGGAAAAGGAGGTCATGTGTTTCTCTGAACTACTGTAGCCCCAAGGTTAGCCCCGTGTCTCATACAGAGTTATGAATGAATGAGTTTCGATTACCGAGCTATAATTGTATTTAATGCAGTGAGAAAACCTCCCCAGGCAGGGCTACATTGTTATGAAGCTTTCTGAATCTCAGACCTCTGGCATGTTCCCTTAACCTTTCTGGGCCTCAGGCTCCTTAAACATATGATGACAACAATACCTTCTTCAGAGTTCTTATGAGGATTAAATAATACTCCTGTGGTACCCAGCACAAGAATTTGGTACGCAGTGCATGCTATCAGCTGAAATGCTATTAAGTTGGGTGCTTTCCAAAGTGTGGCGCCTGTGCATGGTGTGAGCAATGCTTAGGTGGTACAGACCATTGAAACTATCATCTTTTCAGTTATTTAGATGAAAATAAGGTTGTGTTCTCCCTCTCATGTGCCTCTCACGGTCTCTTGCTATTCTTCCCATTTAACAGAAAGATCATTTCGGTTCAAAGATGCACGCGGCAGTTAACAGGTGAGCTTAACATTGTTTTCCACTGTATTTCTGAAGCCAGACTGCCTGGGCTTGTACCCACCTCCCTCAGTGTGACTTTGAACACGTTAAGGAACCTCCCTTATACCTCAGTGTACTCAACTGCAACACGGGGATAAGAACGGGACCATCCCAGAGCTATCGTGAACCTAAAATGAACGATTTACACGTCAAGTGATGCAGAACATAGCCCGCCATCCATGTTAGAAACAGGTGAAAGAAACGGCCCAAGAGGGATGGTGTGGCCACCGTCTCAAAGGTCTCACCAGGACAACTGAGTCAACGAC